TCCCCCCCCCCCCCCCCCCACTAAACTACAGTGTACGCAAAATTAAACATGGTGGCTCATATACTCACTGCTTTCATCATCTTATACACTTAAATCATGTATTAACATGGAAAGATATAATAAACACAGTATTAAACTAATAATCTCACAAAAGAGGGCCATTAACTGCAAACATTCAAATTAAGTGATTGCTATGCTTTGAAGTAGATAGAGGGGACAGTAGAAAGACAGAAAAACTGTTGACAAATTTAATGGAACAGAGGCTAATATTCTTATTCCCACAACATAGCCTAAAACAGAAATCTCCCAGGGCATGCAGAGGTGTCACATTATCTCAGGTTCTCTGTTATTTTTTGCTACTCACCTTTACAAAGACGAATCTCTATATACCAAGGAATGGTGCCTTGACACAGCTGATAAACACTCTCACCTAACCGGGACCTAGAGATAGAGTCGTGTCATTTTGCCGTCTAGTGACCATTAAACTAAGCAAGAGCTATTGGCTCAAAAGCAGACTCACCACATTCAGGACAAGAAGCAATAACAGAATGCAGCCAGCATCAGCTCCATCACCCATTGCACAGGAGTAGTTCCCATACATGGAAAACTAGCAAGATTAGCGCTTCCATGGACACGGGCCAGGGAAGGGCTTTGAGGTAAACGCTTACACAGAGCTTGCAGTATGCGCTGATAAGCCAGGCCCAGTTCAGGCTGAGCCAGCACTCACTCACCCTTCATCGCAAGAAGATTTAACATCTGGTCTAATCAATTGATTCTGAGGTTTTTTGTAGAGATACTTCCCTATAGGTTCACACTCTGCCACTGAAAAAAAGAGACAAAGATGAGAAATCAACACAAGTAATCTCAAAACTACAAAACATCTGCATGCAAGTCCTGATACCTTTGCATTTGGGGACAGTGGGTGTCCACACCCCCTCAGAGGTACAATGTATGGATTCTTCGCCCACCAGCACATAGCCAGGGTCACAGCTATATTTTATGGATGTTCCAGGCTCAAAGCTCAACCCATTTCGATCTTCCTTTTGCCCATTGAGGATTTCAGGAGGGGCTTGGCACGCTACAAGAAAGAAAAAAATGTATTGTCTGAACAACAGCAACAGGGAGAAACAGCCAAAGAAATGGGCATTAACGCTGTAATTCCTCTCTGGTGGCAGCTGTATGATGCAGAAGGTGTCTTACAGCCCAGTTTGGGGTAAGTTTGGGCCAGTGTTTCTCAATCTTTCCCTCTTCTTTGCACTTAGGCTGCTGCAGATTTTGTTCAGTTTCCACTCGGTGCTTTACCTCCTCTCATTTCTTCCTTTCTTAAGGAATCTCCTCATATGCTCTCAAGGGGAGATTCTCATATACCCATGGAATGGGGGCTTGGATGACTTCCCTTTTAAGAAATCAGTATTAACACAAACAAACATTTTTTCCATAAAGAAATGGGCAACTTAGTGGTTCCTAGTGTTATTTTTCCCAAGGACACTTCTACAAAATGAACAAATGGTGAGTGTAGTGTTTAAAAACGCCTTCTACATAATTTGAAAACACTATACATATTGAAGAATTGAAGCGACTACAAACTGAAAAATAAACTGCTTACACCCAAAGTCCCTACCTATAATTCTTAGAAAAGAAGAAATCAGTAAAACCTTTTCTTGGTCCTGGAACACTCACCCTTTTCACAGACTGGTGCAGAGGGCTCCCACGTGCCTTGGGCACTGCACCTTATTCTCTCGCTACCTTTCAAGGTGAAGCCCAACAAGCAATCAAATGCCACAGTGTCATTATATGAATATTGATCTTTCTGCCCAGACGATATTTGGCCTCTTAGGATCTGGGGAGGTGGACAGTGAATTCCAGGAGTAGAAAGTTCGCAGCGTGGGGGAGGACCACTCCAGATCCCAATCTTCTGACTATCAGTGGTGCAACGGATAGTGTCCTTCCCAATCAGGATGAAGTCCACTCCTCTCTCTGGGCCCGGGTCACAAGTGTAAGTGACTGTGCTTCCGTATGGAACGTTCCCTGAAGAGTTGCCGGTATGCCTTCCATTGAGAATAGGACGAGGTGGTGGGCAAAGGATTGCTAGAGAAATTAGAGAGAAATGACCAGGTTGCAGCTGTACCACACACAAGAAAGCCTCAGACTTGATGCCACTCTCATCTCCTAGGTTCAGGGTCCTAGGATATTTGATTTGCTGATGAACCATCAAGGCAGCTATCCCTCTATATAAAAGCCTAAGTGAATGTTATGACAGAACAACCGAATGACCAGAATGACCAGTAGCTATGATTCAACTGCCCCCCTGGTGGTCAGTGCATTCCCACGGCCAACCTCCCATGGCTGGCCAACTTCCTCCTGTCCCTCCCTGTGGTGGGCCAACCTTCAGCAGTCCCTTCCCCCATCTCTCCCCCTGGCCAGGAGGCCCTGATTGGGACTGGGTGAGACAGCCCCAATCGGCTCTGATTGCCAGCCAGGCCTAGGGTCCCCACCCATGCACAAATTCGTGCACCAGGCCTCTGGTAACAATATAATTGAAAAAGTGTATCTTGCCGATCCTTGGATTTCTGTTACTGAATACACCCTCTCATTTATGTCCATGGCCTGGCTTACAAGTCTACTTAATTTTAGAGAAAGAAAAGCCTAGGACAGTGATGGCGAACCTTTTGAGCTCGGCGTGTCAGCATTTTGAAAAACCCTAACTTAACTCTGGTGCCGTGTCACATATAGAAATTTTTTGATATTTGCAACCATAGTAAAACAAAGACTTATACTTTTGATATTTATTTTGTATATTTAAATGCCATTTAACAAAGAAAAATCAACCAAAAAAATGAGTTCGTGTGTCACCTCTGACATGCGTGTCATAGGTTCACCATCACTGCTATAGCCCATTC